GAAAACTTTAATAGAAAATTTAAACAATAAATACTAGTAATGCCGTTAACTTACAATCATCTAATTTTATGACACCACAGTGATAGTTCTATAATTTCTTTGGGTAATAAATAAACTAGACAACAAATTGATCAAAAACGAAAACTGCTCAACGACTCATATCAGCCCTTAATTCTAATACTTATTTCAGTAGGTTATCTAGTAATATAATTTTATTATTTTATTCCATACCATAAAATAAAAAAGTACATTTTTGGCTCCAAGAATGTGCTTTTAGATCATCGTACGCTGAAATCTATTTTTGTTACATGTATTTCTGATTTTGACCTGTGACGTTTTCCTCGACGCGCACATTCCAATTTGTGGGGAAAACAAACCTTTCGTTTTCCAACTTGGATTTATTGTGACGTTTGTGCCAATCGCCTGTCAGTCATGCTTCACCGTATTTTATGAGATTCCCATTGAGATACATTCACGTACCGAGTTTTCTAAAGACGCTGAAAACTTTGCAGACATAATACTTATTTAAAAGTTGCAGTCATACTAACGAGTGCGCCAACTGAGGAGTGAATTAGGACCCCTTTTATTAGAGAATTTTTATAGATGTCCATGGGAAGTCCACTTAACATCAGGGGGACCTCTTAGTAGCAGCTATTACATTTTTACACAAGTTAACTTTTAGCCATGTTACGGTTATAAGTCGGAAGAATTATGTATTCATTATAGTTATAATGCTATTAGTGAGAATTAAGGTCTGAATTAAGTTGCTCTTTATTTGCAACTAGCTGTGCCCGCGACTTCGTCCGCGTGGTATTTAAAATAAAAAAAAATCTAAAATAAAAGTAGCCTAAGTTACTCCTCATTACATCAGCTATCTGAAGCCAGTGAAAGTCTCATCCAAATCGGTCCAGCAGTTTCAGAGATTAGCCGGAACAAACAGACAGACGGACAGATGACAAAAAAAATGTTATTTTTGTATACGTACCGTTTATACATCCATATGCTTTTAGTAAAAAGCGGTTATTTTAATATTACAAACAGACACTCCAATTTTATTTATCCTTATAGATACTTTTGGTAACAGTGATTTAAATTATGCTATTTCGAATGCAATTGAGCTCTACTGAATGTTAATGTACGTATGTATGTATGTGTTCCGACTAATACATCCACTGACGCTTTCCCTAACACGGTGTAATGCATATGTGATAGGATCAAGGCAGCAGTGCACTTTGAGTGCCGAAATTAATTGTCGACTCCATCTTTGGTCCGAGAGCTTAACTAGAGGACCGATTAGACATTGAAGTTTTAACTGTATTGAAAACTGTGTATGTTAGCATCCCTAACATATGATATACATTTAAGATATAAATACGATCACTTCGTAATATTTCATAAACTAATTCATCATAATATTTACAACGAACTGGTAATATTATGGCAGACAAGTATAAGATGAGGAGAATGTCAGGAGTTAGGGAAACATTACACAATGTGAGAGTGTTAATTGCAGATAGGATCCAAAATTAAACAAACAAATTAACTGACGGTAGATATGACTACTACGATCACTATGTGATACACAGGTAATAAAGAATGTTCTAAACATAAATAATATGACTGGCGAAAAGAAAGCCCATGTGTTAAAAATCAAAGAATTGAGTGAATCGTGAAAAAAAGAAATACCACAAAAATATCATAGACTATCATAGTTGAGCTAACTGATGAGAGAAAGAAAGCATAGGTTGCACCGACCTTATTTCAGATACCAGAGAGGAAAGTAAATGGATATCGAAGGAAATGGAGATAAACTTTCTCATTATCAGAAGCATAGTCATCGCAGACTATTGTACTAAAATGTATAAACTCGTGACTTCAGTTATATATTTCTGACTTGAGCCCTTATTGTTCTAATTAAACTAAAACCCATAGTTAACGTTCCCAGGAAATAATCTTATATTGTAAGATCACGATTTTAAATTTTGTAAACGGTAGCAATTTAAAATTTAAATCAACAAGTCAAAATTGAGTTATAACTGTAACGATCGAACACAATCCACATGGGTGTTTACGCATCGATTATTTTCAATGCAGTAGATTGGAGCTATTTATTTCTCTATCAGTGGGCAGTATTCCCAACGCAGAGTGGTGCTCGCGTATTGCGGACACCCGTAATGAATATTCAATGAGAGGTTTATCACATTTCAGCCTCCAAGGTATAAATATTGACACGTAGACAGTGTTCTTTAGTTATTTTATCCCTTTTAATGGGGATTGTTTATTTTTTGGCTGACCATTATAATAACTTCACTGCATACTGTTCGAGGCTCACTTATTATATAGTTAACCGTCAGAACGCACACTGATACTCTTCTTTGTTGTGTTTTTAATGATTACGTACAAGTTTCTGGTCTAAAATCATAACGAAAATTTATGTGCAATTTATCATTATTTTATTATTCATCATTAGCAATCTTAGCATCTATAACAATTATAGTATACTAGTGCTTTAACCAATCAGCATGTGGACGCGATACCAGAAGACGTGAGTTCGATTCCCGCAGCGGTAACAAACTTTTGTTCATTTCTATAAATTTTAATGTTTCATCTTAAGTGCAAAGATTAGCTCAATAAAATAATAAGTTGGTAATATGTTCATATATTTTAATAACTTTTATCGTCTTTTATAATTTCTACGAAGATCCATTATGTTAATAGTTATTATCACATTTTCTTTAACTTTAGCGATAAACTGGAATGTTTCTTAACAGTATCTCTTATGTTATTAGTATCCCTATCTATCTATTCTACTATATCCCTATATATTCTATTATATCTACAAAGACATTTTTCATACCTATTTTTGGGAATTGGAAATGAATAATTCATACAAAAAAGCTTCTGTATCTCAATAGGTTGAAGTAACTTTTATTGAAGATTAGACTTAGTGATGTAAATTGATTGTCTCCTTTTCTACCAAAAGTGGATGGTTTTTGTTGCGCCTGAATTGAACCGCGCTTATAATGAAAGAATACGTCAGTTCTAAGACGGTTTATTTATATTAAAAATCCAAATATAATCTCCTCCAAATTATAATTTAAATGAAGAATGAAGAATGGGTGAATGCTATCCATTGATAAATACACGGATAACTATTTTATTTATTTTTTATTTTATGCGAAAAGTTGTCAAACGAACAAACGGTTCACCTGTTGTTAAGTGAATACCGCCGCCCATGGACATCTGACACACCCGAGGGTTACAAATGCGTTGACAACCTTTTGAAAATTGGGCTCCGGCTACCCCACTCACCAGACGAAAAGCGAAAGTATTTTTCATACTTCCACTTTACGCCGGTCCACTGTGAGGTCGTGATACTTACCCGGACGAGCCTGCCCATTCGTGCAACAGCCGAGGCTGCAGCTTGGCCCTACCACCGTTATAACGTAGAAAATTGAATGAATGTATTACGTAAAATCTGTTAACGTAAAATTTTCACCAATAATTAATTCGAACCGGTGGCGGTCGCATTTGAGGCCATTTCTGTCCTGTTTTTAGCTTACAATTTAAATCGTATAGAGGAAAATGGTGAAACGAAAAATTTAATCCTTTTCCCAAAACGCTGTTCCGAAACAAAATAATTGGAAATTCAGTCAACTATGAACATAGTTAATCATTGGAATAATATGTATAGTGTATACATAGATATTTAATTTGGATTTTATCAAGGTGTTCTCCAGAACCGAATTCGTATGTAATAAATACGTGCAGCCCCGCCGAGTCGCGGAGGATAGGGAGTACGGCCAACGCAATACCGACACTCCTCTTCCCCCGCGACTCCTCCTCGGTAGCAGAAGAACTCGGCCCCATTTCACGGCCAACGAACTCCCCCGAGTTCAGGGAGAGTGGCTCCACCTCTACCACGCCCTAAACCTGTCCCCTGCACCCTCCAGCACGCATCCAGAGTTGGCTCAATGAGCCCACTCGGAGCGGCCATTTCGGGCCGGCCTTACACCACAGGCCGATGAGGCCGGCCTGGTGTGGATTCCTCTTAGCTTCGCCGTGGGGGACCAAGCCACGGCTATTAAGCCCCTGCGCCACGTCAAGGCGGGAACCCGGTTGTAGGGGCTATTAAACGACCCTAGGACGTGAACACTTAAACTTAAACAGTGCACAGCATAATGATCATGTAACTAACAATCTGTGGTAATATTTTCTAAATTAGAAAATAACCATTATATTTGTTTTTATCAAATGTATTTAAGAATCTACGCTACCTCTCCAAATGAAGATGGATAAGAGTCGTTTCGCATTTAAAAGGAAAACTTTCGGGCACTTCGTAAAAAAGTTTTTGCTAAATTCATTCCACTCTTAGATATTTGTAAGCCTATCTACAGATATACATTAATTTTTTAGAATGTACGATTTTTATATGGTGGTGTTGTTTGCATCCAATGGTCCAGTATAGTACTTTGTGACGTTTATTATGTAGAACCTATTCTCAAAATGCTGTGTACATATTTATTTCTAATTAAATCATAAATACGTATGAGAAGTATTTAAGCACTTCAAGTATTGATAATTATATTAATTTATTCCAATGATTTTCTGCAACTTTTATTCGTTTCAGGTCCAACGCCATGTCTGGAAATGAAGAAGAAAATACGGGAAGACTATATAAGTAAAACGGCATGATTTAAACAAAAATATGACATGACATTTCAAAATTAATTAAATTATGAGAAATGGAACTAAAAAGGTGATATTTAATGAAAATGGCCCATCATAGATTGCCAATACACCTAAGCAATTCTATAAAATTGATATGGTTTGCGATAGAGATATGTTTAGAGAAGAAATCGTTTAAGTGGAAGAAAACGGTGAACTCCAGGTTAATTCTAAAGCTAGGCGTTACAGACAAAGCCAAATTGACGATTCTCTTAGTGTTACTGTTTAGTGTGAACTCGAACGGAAACAGTTACAGTGGCGGCAGGAATTCCATGTTAAGGACTAGAGTTATCGGCACAAGGTACGGCAAATTACAGGGCGTGATTATGCCAATGGATCAACATAAATATCTGAAGCCCATTGAAGCATATCTTGGGGTACCCTATGCTACACCACCTACCGGTTCTAATAGGTAAGTATGAAATGTACTTAAATAGCGGTTCAATGGATTTCAGCAAAAATAAAAAATGTGTGTTCATAAAACAAATAAAATAGTAATGCAAACTTCGTGCGAATAACGCCATCCTTACTGATATTATAAACGCCAAAGTTTGTAAGTATGGATGGATGTTTGTTACTCTATCCCGCAAATACTACTGAATGGATTTTAAATAAACTTTACAATAATATAGCTTATACATCAGAATAAGACATAGGCTATTATTTATATACATATATTTTTGTGTATATCTGTCTTTCTGTCTGAACGTTACGCCTTCAGTCTATTTTACGCTGACGTAGTCGCGGGCAGCGGCTGGTTTCTTATAAAACAAAAATATCTTAATGCACTCAAAAATATAAATGCAATGTTGTCATAATATGTATTTCTGTACTTAATAATTGTGTTAGAAAAGAATACGTAAATGTGATAAGCAAATTTTTGTTCAGTTCAGTTTCAGGCGATACTTTTTTATGTGAAAAAGTAAAAGAGCAATCGAGCGGTCTTTTCACCTGATGTTAAGTGATAATCACCATCCATGGACATTTGCAACACCCGTGGGGTTTTAGATGCGTTGCCACCTTTTATTATGGGCTACGGTTACCTCAATCACCAGACGAAACACAAAAGTATAACTCTACCACTCCACTACTACCGGTCTTTTGTGAGGTCGTGGTACTTTCCCGGACTGACGTGCCCATTCGTGCAACAGCGAACACTGTTGCGTGCACAGTTGAGTAAAGACTGGTATTTCTGATTTATAATTTCTGTAACGTTTTGACCAGTGACAATTGTCAGAAGCAAAATAAGAGGTTCTTTCTTGGTTTATTTAATTATTGACCTCTTATTAAAAAGGTCCGTGGTTTACAGAAATATCATTTTAGAACAATGAAAAAAAAGTTATTGTTTTGTTTTTTTTTTATTCAATGACAAATGCCCCGTAAAATATTGTCCATGCCTTAATATAATATCGTGGCTTTATCATTGAATAATTTTTGTCTCTTTGTTACACATGGCCAAAAAAGGTTTAGGTATTTGTTCTTTTGTGCCTAGCTTATCTAGTTATGTGATATGCGAGTAATTTTAAATACATGTAAAGTTTTTGTTTTTATAATTCCTGGTACTTATTTTTAATTAATATATCTTGTCGTTACGACAAATTCAATTGATGAAATGTTAAACAAATTCAAAAGATGAAAAGGTAAATGCAAGCATATTTTATTATTTAAAAAGAAATATTTATTGTTTTAGTCAATTTGAGGCTAAAAATATGTGGAAATAATAAAAATACTAAGTTAATGTTAATAATGTTTTATGGAACCGAACAAGCTTAACGATAACTGTTGTTACAACGATAACATTCGAACATAAATAATTACTGTATTTATCATTTTTACTGTATTCATTTTCTCAGATATTTTTTTCATACATTTGAATATTTAGTTATTGTGACTAGTTATTTAGTTTTTTTTTTTATTGAGCAATTCATTGATGTTGATTTCATCGTCATTGATTTTTTTATGATTCTAATTTTTTTTATACTTTTATACATTTAATCATACCTACAAATAAATGTAATCTAAAAGTAAATCAAAATCAAAGGTTTGCTCCAACAAGAGCACCGGCACCATGGGACGACGTTAAAACTGTTGACCAAATGGGCCCAGTGTGCCCCCAACGTTTGCCAGACGTTTCAAATGAGACAGAAGCTTTAGAGAGGATGCCGAAAGGCCGGCTCGAGTACCTACGCCGGCTTCTGCCGCGGCTGAAGAATCAAAGTGAAGACTGTCTCTACATGAATATCTACACACCTGTGCAAGGTAAGGATTTTAGTAAACATCTTAAGCTATCTGCGCTCCTCAGTAATAATACCTAAGTGGGTTTCGATTTCAGTGGCATGTACTGACTGAGTTGTCGGGTTTTCGAGGTACAAACGAAACTGTAAGATATGTAACAGCGTCTGTAGTTTCATGAATCAATATAGTAATCTGAAGATAATGTTCTATTTTCTTTTTAATGGTTTTTCGACCATAGATTTAGCCCCTTCTCATAATCGAAGCTTTGGATTAAGAAAAATCTTAGTGCCTATCAGCACTTTCATGTTAAAGTAAGTAAAGGAACAGGCTATAAATGCCCCACTTCTGGGACATTGATAGGCTGTTCAAATATCTTCTAAAATATGCAAGTTTCCTCACCATGTTTTCCTTCACCGCTGAGCGCGTGATAAGTCAGCACTTAAAATTAACAATTTCATTGGTCAGGGCACCAGGGATCAAACTCAGGTTGCTCGAGTACATTAAATTATAGGAGACTGACTGGTAAAGCCAATAATGAAATCTCAAAATGTATCAGTTGTTCTATAGAATTTCTAAGTCCTTTCTATCCATTCATGGCATTACAAAAAAAAATGTAATTTAGCATAAAAAGCCAACGTTACAAAAAGATTGCACGTTCAATTTATTCGTTAAAGCCGTTGACAATCACAGCAATACGCTAATATGGAAATACATACAAGCGTCTTCAGTAAGTGTTCAAGGCTTTGGGATCTGTTCGCATAGCTTAAAAACAATGCAAAGTAGGTTACGAATCCGTTCCCGCAGAGGCGGTGATTACGTCGGCGTGGCTCGTCGAGAAATGAATACACGGTTAAAACAATACCGTCTCTTATTTGCCGCTCCGCTCTTGGACCGTCTGAGATTTCCATCTCGCTTCGCGGCGAAACAATCTCGGATCCTTATATAAAGGTCGGGTTTGCGGAATTTTAAAACGCAATACGAAATGCTGAATTGCTAGCTAGTCGAAGTCATTGCGTATATTATTTTTTTAGGGTTCCGTATACAAAGGGTAAAATGGGACCATATTACTAAGGTTCTGCTGACTGTCTGTTGTCTGTCAGTCTGTTTGTCACTAAGCTGTATCTTATGAACCGTTATAGTTAAACACTTGAAATTTTCACAGATGATATGCTCTTGCCGCTATAACAACAAATACTAAAAATTGGAATAAAAAATTTATAAGTAAAAGACTCCCATACAACAGACATGACTTTTTTTGCAGTTTTTATAAATAATGGTACGTAAACCTTCGTGCGCGATTCTGATTCGCACCTGGCCGTTTTAATGTGCAATTTTAAATTTATAGTATTACGGGTGACGTTAAACATTCCTTACGCATATTTGTGTCTCAATACGGGTCGATATTAAAGAAGTGTGTACGTATAAATTAACTATGACAGGGTTTTAACCATGGAGCGCTAAACAATACAAGTAAACTATGGTGTTAAAAAAAACAATTTGCGCAAAGCTACAATTAATAATAAAATTTTATTTATTTTTATTTTTTATTTTATGCGAAAAGTTGTCAAACGAGCCGACGCCGCCGCCGCCCATGGACATCTGCCACACTCGAGTGTTACAGATGCGTTGACAACCTTTTGAAAATTGGGCTCCGGCTACCTCACTCACCAGACGAAACGCTAAAGTATTTGTCACACTTCCACTTTACGCTGGTTTTCTGTGAGGTCGTGGTACTTACCCGGGCGGGTTTGCCCATTCATGCAACAACCGAGGCTGCTGCGTGGCCCTACCACAGTTAACAATAAAGTCACTTATTTGAACTAGTTCAGAGATGATCACGTCCAAAAAAGAGTTTGGATTTGAAAAAAAAATGATTTGGAACCAATTATATGTTCGACTGAAACGCATATGGGAAATTCTCATATATATGTGCAATAAAATAAATATTGTAACATTAAGGTTACAAATTACCCTTTTAGAATTTCATAGAGCTTTCCCATTCCTTAATACACCTCATTTATATTTTATAGCCTAAGTATGGAAAATAATAAGTTCAATTTTTACTGCTTAATAAAAAAACATTTTGTTTGAATTTCAAACAATTGTGCACATTTGATATATAGTACAAAAGGAAATAAATAGTTGCGCAATTATTATCAGATGTCGAACAAATAACTAGATTACATTGAGTAATTGGCGTGTAGAGCCGCAGTGTCTTTACGCTTGGCTCTTACTTAATGAACTTAAATAACTTGAGTCTGTCTCAGTGCCGGCCAAAGATAAATCTTTATGCTGTATCGATATTTTAACTATATCATTTTGATCCACGGTGAATAAAACATATGGTATAAAATCTGCAATGAAAAAAATATTGTAGGATATTTATATAGTAAACGTTATGATAAGATGACGAAGAAACACTTGTATCTCTCATAATTTAGTCTTAATAATAAAACAACACAAAACTGGTTTGAAACCTAATCAATAATATGTAAATTCCTTTCATATTACTTGTAAATCACTAATATCTGTAATTCCAACGGTATTCATACATTTTTTTTGAATTTACATATATAATCAAAACGAGCCTAATTGGCACGAAATAAATACGGCTCGATATTTTTAAAACGTTTATGCATAACACGACACATGTATAACAACATACACGTACAAATGGTGTAATTTTGATATATTTATACAAATTAAACGAAACAAAACGCAAGGGTTCAGTGTTCAAATTTCATCGGTTGTAATAGCGCCAATGGCAATTCAGGAATGTTATGAAATGTCATGAGACTTAGACGAAGAACTTAAAGGCCAAGTGCAAATTTTTTTATTGTAACCAATAATGAAAAGTCAGAGATTATTCAACACGGTGGCGAGAGAGTTAATTGTTCAATTGCGATGGTTTCTGAGTGTTTGAATACTAATTCGGAGCGAGTATTTACGTAATACTCGTGAAATTTCAAATATTAAACTACTTCGTGTGCAGATTTATTATGAAGTTTATTAAGTTATTAACCATTTGAAATGGAAGCCTGTACAATCCTAATAAAGGACCAAAGGGTAAATTTCACAAAACTAATTAACGAAATTCTTCTGTAAGTTCCCAGCGAATAAAGTTTTCTACGGTCTTTGAAGAACTAAGCGTAAGGAAAAATTCATTATTCGAATCTCATTCCAAATATATGATGAATATCATGAAACTCTGTGATTTTAGACAGCTTAAAATTTTTTAAAACTAATCTGTATTACAAAAATGGAGGTGAATTTTTATAGAAGTACTATGGCTTCATAGAAGAACGGCGGATAAAAAATATGTCAGCTCAAGATTTTAGGTCGATGCCGGTAGTCTATCACCATTCATTCCAAAAGCTGTAAGCAGCGTATATTTGGTTCTGACGCTTATCTTTGTCGCTATTTCCGACTGATGTTCTTGAATCTCTACGAATACTCTACGCAGACATAGTCGCGGGCAGCAGCTAGTACGATATATATTGTGCTTCCCATTATATTATACTTTACTGGTGCATTATGTTATAAATGTAAAACTGTTGAAGAATCTCTTAAGTCTCGTTTTTTTATTCTTAAAAATCATAGCAGTCAGATATCATCAGCTCACAATATCATAGTGTTGGATTGGATCCAGAAGGGACTTATCTGGAGCGTGACGAATCCGTCATGCGAGATACCGTTGGCTAAAACAAAGATAAAACATTACGATTGAGCATTAAATGTTTTACACATGAACAAATGAATAGTTTCTTTTGCAATAAAAAACTCTAAACAATAATTATGAAACTGAAGAGTTTGTTTGTTTGGTTGATCTCAGCAACTACTGGTTGGAATTGAAAAATTCATTTTGATAGTTAATTCATCGACACAGTTTACTCTTGTCAGAATTTTTATTATACTGCATCTTGTATGATAGTGTTTCATTTTTAATACTTTTGTGTATGTTCAACCACATCTTAAAACAAAGTATACGTTAAACGCAAATTCATATATTTATAATAGACCAAAGGATTATTCACTAAAAGAAGGCAATAATTGCAAGATTTTGTTCTTTTTCTAATCGTACGTTTGACTGTTTCAGTGGGTCCAACGTTACAAGCGAAATATCCGGTTGTGATTTTCATTCACGGCGAATCTTTCGAATGGAATTCGGGGAACGTATACGACGGCGCCGTGCTAGCCAGTTACGCTAGCCTTGTGGTCATCACCATCAACTACAGACTTGGTATATTAGGTGAGATATTACAAACGCCAGAAAGTTAAAGCAATAGTGAGGGTAGGTATGTTAGTTACACACTAATACAACATAATAACAACTTACTAATGGCCAACAATATTTTTTTATGTGAGAATATGGAACAAGCTGGTGGTTCACCTGATTTTAAGTGATAGTCGCTGCCTAAGGACATTGCCGTGGGGTTAAAGATGCGTTGCCAACTTTTAATAATGTGAGCTCCGGTTACCTCACACAGTAGACGAAACGCACCTCCAGTTTCACGCCGGTCTTCTGTGAGGTCGCGAGACTTCTTCGGATGGACGTGGACCTGTCCATTCGTGCAACAGCAAACTGTTGCGTGGCCCTACCACAGTATAAAGGGAAATAGTTTCAGCTTAATAACTTCAATGTCAAAATATGATTAATGAAAATTAAAAGAAAGAAATAATATATTTGTCAACATGTCCATTCCAACAATATTTTCATTTAAAGGCTTTCTGAACGCGAATCCGATACCGCATGTGAAAGCTCGTGTGGCAAACTACGGACTCATGGATCAGATCGCTGCACTTCATTGGGTCCAACAAAATATAGCGCTTTTTGGAGGAGATGCGGGTAACGTCACAATGCTTGGTCATGGCTCCGGTGCGGCTTGCATAAATTTCCTCATGATTTCGCCGACGGTCATGCCCGGTAAGTATGTCTGCCAGTTAGATTACACTCATAGGGCTTTTTTTCTCAAATTATTGAAGTGGCTTAAAATATTTGTATAGCACTGTTACGTATAAATTGTTTATTGCCAATCGTTAGAGACGGTGAACTTTGCCTTGCACTTGAATCGTAGTCGAAAAATCTCATGTTGGAGTTAAATGTTTTTTACTTCGTTTTAGACTTGGTATTTTTTTAATTTATAATGAAATTGCAGGTCTATTTCATCGCTCGATCCTTTTATCCGGTTCTGCCTTAAGCTCCTGGGCGTTAGTAGAAGACCCAGTCAGCTATTCCGTCCAGCTCGCGAAACAATGCAATTGTACCCTACCCGATGACATCGTCAAAGACCACGAACTCCTGGTCGATTGCCTGCGTGAAGTGCCGTTACATGAATTGATGTCAGCTGAAATAAGTACACCAAGCTATCTGACCGCTTTCGGACCATCAGTTGACGGAGTGGTTGTTAAAACCGACTACGCTAAGGAGCTCCTGACCTTTTTCATTCCAAATGACTTACAAGGATTCACCAGCGTCTCAGGTGTTAATAACATCAAAGCAGACAAGAGAGCCGGAGATAGGATATTCGGGATAAGAGGCGGGCAGAATAAATACGATCTACTATTTGGTGTAGTAACGAGTGAGGCCCTTTGGAAATTCTCTGCGCAGGATATACAAAACGGTTTCGAGGGAGAAAGACGCGACAAGATAATAAGGTAAGGTGAATATTTATAAAGCTAAAGTTGTTTTATAATTTGTGTGTTTTGAATCCGTTTTGATTCATAAATCTTTTGAACATATAAATCAATGATATGAGACACATAATTACTTTGATGACTCCATGGCGCAGTTGCCAAGGTATTGGCTTCGGCGTCAGGGGTCGTGGGTTCGATTTCCACACGGGACAACTATTTCTGTGACCCACAGATAGTTGTTTCGCATCTGGGTGTTTGTCTGCATGAAATTTATGTTTGTAAAACGTCATTACAACACAGGATAATATTATCCTAAAGTAATGGCTGTTTAAAAAAATATATATGTGGCTTGATTGATGTTGATTTTGGTCTGTTGTTTGTTTAAAATTAAATCTACAAATGATTCTGTTTTATTTTTTCGTAATAGGAACCGGAGTAAATTGAATATTTAAGTATTAATTTGGATGTTAACCATACGTCAACATAAATTTCCGTTTGTATTATTGTTTCAGAACATATGTTAGAAATGCGTACACATATCATTTAAGCGAAATATTCTTTACAATAGTTAATGAGTATACAGATTGGGAAAGAACAGTTCAGGTACAGACTTATTATTTCATTAGATATTGACAAAATCCATATCCAGACTAGTTTTGTATTTTTTAAGTCTGCATTTTACTATCACTGAGAATAGATAAAACGAAATAAAAGTCAACGAAGAAATACGCTATGCAATATTTGTTTTCCAACAGCATCCAATAAATACAAGAGACGCCGCCGTGCTAGCGCTTTCAGACGCTCAATATGTAGCACCACTTGTACAAACTGGAGATTTTTTAAGCTCAACCGAGTCTGGACCAAGTACGTTCTTCTATGTCTTTGACTACCAAACTAAGGATGGGGATTATCCACAGGTAATTTTTTGGAAAAGAAAAATAATAATAATAATAATAAAAAAATGATCATTTTGTTGTTCACATAATCATGTCTTGACTATAAAAGACAATAATGTGGACAACAAAATGTTATTTTCTGTTTTTCGGTTTAACAACAAAATGCTATCTAAGTGATACGCAAGTTAAGAAACACGAAAAAGGGCTGTTACAGAAAACATTTCCTTTCATAAAATTTCAGAGTTTTATAGCCAGATGGCCAATATCGATCAACTAACATTGACCTAATATTAATATTTCAAATCGTAATGAACGACCGTTGTGTTTTTTTTAATGTGAGAAGGTGGCAAAGGAGCGGGCGGGTCACCTGATATGGTGATAACCGCCACCTTTTGACAACACCCGAAGCCTTCCACATGCCTTGCCACCATTTAATAAAGTAAAAAACTTACCCCGGCTACCTCACTCTCCAGTGACATGCCCATTCGTGCAACAGTGAAAACTGTTGCGTGGTCCTACCATAGTGGATATACAACTTCCGGATTACGCGTCCAGGTTCTCTAGCTACTAAGTTAAGCAGTCGAAATCATCACCAAAATAAAATCGACGTCTTACTTACTTTGTAATTGCATTTTAGCAATGATTTAATGGTAAAATTTTCTATTCATGGCAATGACATAATAACTAACTTAACCTAATTAGTTTGGTGTCTTTCAGTTTGCAAGGTATAGCTATATTATTACTACATTATCTATGCTATATGTGCAATTTTACACTGTATATTACGTTTTATGATCTTTCTGAGTTAATATTTACTTATTAATCCAGTTCATCTTTTTGCTTAAAACTCAAACGCACATCATATTTCTAGCGCATGGGTTCCGTGCACGGAGAAGAGCTGCCCTATTTATTTGGAGCACCGCTAGTTGAAGGGCTCGGACACTTTCCAAAGGACTATACAAAATCTGAAGTGGCACTTTCGGAGGCTTTTATATTGTACATGGCGAATTTCGCTAGGACTGGGTGAGTGCGATTCCAAGAGTAAAGATAAATTTTTCGCATTTCCAATTCCGATCGATTTGATTTAGTTGAGTGTTTTATATAAAATACAATCTTACCAAATGCTTCAATCTTCGTTTGATTTGATACCTGTTTTAAATAAATTGATAGTGCACTTATAAAAAGTATAGACTAGCTGAAAAACAAAATGAACGACACAAAGCTAAATATCGACTTCACTATGTGGAATGAAAAATTATTGTGCTAAACAAAGTTTGTTCTTGAGCTTCAACGTTTAAATTAAAACATTGATATTTGTCTTTTTGCTGACATGAACTTAATTGATATCATAAATTAAAACATAAATATTTAATTTACATATGCTTTATCAATGTTGATAACTTGGGTTTGCTTGACGCTTTCATAGGTTTAGCTCTTAATTAATTAAAAAATATTTTAAAAGTTAATTTTAAAATTAAATTTTGTAATGATTCAAAAGAACAGTAAATATAAAAGCAATATCTTTAACATTATCCTTAGGAACCCAAATGAGCTACAGCGTCAAGAATCTGTTTTGCCCATATCGAGGGAACGGAACAAGTTTAAAAGCATAGTTTGGGACGAATACGACACACTGCATCAGAAGTATTTAGAAATTGGTAAGAATTTAATCCAATACTCTTATTTATGACTAACTTAAGCAAGTCTGTTTCACTTAATCATTTTCTTCATTTATATAAATTGTCTTGTTAAACTCAGTGCTTATTATTAACACAAAACACACCCAAAGAAACTATTTATGGATCAAACAAACTAAGGTTCAGTGTTTTGATTTAGCTCAAACAAGGCGATAAATGGCAATCACATTGATTCCTGTTTAACAGAACTATATTTAGTCACAGTTATCCAGATTTTTTATACTATTCACCATTTCCAGGTATGAAGCCGCGAATGAAGAACCACTACCGCGCCCATCAACTTTCTGTATGGCTCCGTCTAATACCGGAGATTCATAGGGCGGGGATGAAGGATGTTGTGGCGAAACACAACTTGTTCCGCAACCATAACGATCCCGAGCTGTATGACGGGCTAGTTAGAATGGATCCTCTGATGCGTCCCAACTATTACGATCCCACTATGGAGCTCTATCGTAAACCGTACAACATCACTGTTGATATTCCCTCTACAACAATGGACACGTACGTCACAACATGCATTAGCGTCATGTCAGCAAGACCAGGATCGGCGGTTACTCAAAACCAAGGACCCAATAAATCTCAGGACGTATCGAACTCGGAGGCCGCGGGTTACACGAATTATTCGACAGCACTAAGCGTCACGATAGCGATCGGCTGTTCTCTATTGATCCTTAATGTTTTGATCTTTGCCGGTGTCTATTACCAAAGAGACAAGACGAGGCTCCAGGTAAAAGCACTACAGCAGCAACAGAAGAGGCACAACTCCACCTTCGACAGCGTTTCGTCGAAGCACCCTCACTATTTTGTCGGCCACTCTCAGAGCTCCAGCACCATTGTAGACATAGATCACCAAGACAAGAACGCAATAATCGCCCTAACCAATCGAGTGCCGCACTTCACCAGTAGCAACTGTCCCAATGTATGCCACACAGGTATGCAAATGACCAACATCACGCAGAAATCCAGCCCGCCAATGAATCGAGGTCAATGCACCACACTACCCCGAAAGGTTGGCTTCAGTTACCAGCAGAACCAGATCTGCAACCCATCGAACTGCATGACCCTACCGAAGAACGCGACCTTCATGGGCAACAACTTGCCAGACGTACAAGCGCAGACAGGGCAGACCCAATCTCCTGGGAACGGCGCAGCCTTGTCCTCATCACCTCCCTCGCAACACTTCTCGCAAAAGTCGCGGGTTCCCCATGCCGCCATGTCGGAAATGAACGTATGAGAAATGGAAGATATTTACAATTACGTGTAAAGTGACGCTCTAACAGACTAGTGACACCGGTGCACGATTGTAAATATCGATGAAGTGATTGTGTAAATAGATTTTTGACGTTCGGGTATTCATGGTGTATTCATTTGATTAAGCGGCATCGTATGAATATTTTGTAGACTTAATTACGTTATTGTATATACAGTTTAGGACAATCAGGCCCGTTTTGAATGGGCTCAGTGGTTATGCAGCGGCCAATCTAATTAAATTGCTCATAGACAACAAAACCTTGTAAGTAAAGCCTGATATAAACAAAGCATACTTTGAAAAAAAAAGGAATGGATCTCCAGTTATACGTCATTTAAAATGACGACGTTGTACATAATTTAGAATTTCGAAGACTGTAAAATTAACAATATTATTGCGGGATGTCATCATAAAAAAACGTTTATAAATAAACTGTCTCTCCACAACATGTTAGCTTTTATTCGTTTCATTTTCATTCAAACTTTGAAATTTGTCTATTGCTTGTCAATTTATAATTTTATTAAGTTTATTTTAAACTAAGTATCATTTGAATAAAATTAAAGTACTTGTTCGTTTATTATCAACAGCGTGTAAGCTTTGAATTGTTATAATTTTTATACATAATATTTTAAAAGAATAACACATTGTATATATTATTTTAGTCATTTTTATTGTAAGATATGTTTGGCTTTCCGGTTTTTTTTTCACATGTTTTTGGATTTGTATGGTACCTTGTTTTCATCATGTATTATCTTCATGTTGTTTTTTACATAGGCGCATCGTATTATAAAAAGGGACAAAGTTTTGATCGATTATATCGTAAAATGTTATGTAACCGTTACTATCAATCTTATGATGGGTATGATCTAATTAAAAGATAAATAAATTTCATGAGAAGTAACTACGAACATATCATTTTATGTACCTTATATCTGAGCGTTAAACTGGCAATCAAATTTCAAAATTGCAATTTGCTTGCCATTTTGCCCCGAATAAATCATAAATGAAACTAATTTTACAGATTTATCGCATCTTGTCATCAATAAAATTAAATCTAGGCCCAAACGAACCACTACTGCAAGACAAGATACAATTAGCTTCCTCTGCATAGATCGGACACAAAATTATTAATTCAAAAACTGACGGTAGCCCGGGCTAACTATGACAATCAGACGTCCAACGCCTCAGTCTGTCCCGTGACCATGAACGCGGTAAACGTCAGGAATTAAAATTAAAAATAAACACGATAAATCCGTAAAATTAATTTCATTTACAATGTGTAATCGCAATTACAAGAAATTATCACGAATAAATCAATTAATTACTCGGTAAACTGGTAAAGAATGCCACAGGCGGACTTAACGTGCGCGTGTTCACAAGAATTCTTTAAGACTTTCAATTGGTTAATGAAATAGTTAAGTACAAGTTTTGTTATAAATAAAACTTACCTTTTTGTTTTTTGGACTCACATTAAAATATACTTATACCCACCATTTGGATCTAAATTCAGCCCGCTGAGAGAATACACATTGGATGTATAAATTGAAATATCATTATTCAATATGAGAGCATTACACCTATTGATTGCCTAAAAACACTACTACCGGTTAGCCGTGATAGCTCAGTGTCCGGGCGCTCGCCTTTAATTCAATATACTCGAGCAACCTGAGTTCGATCCCCGGTGCCGGCACCAATGAAGTTTTTAATTTTAAGTGCTGACTTGTCACGTGCTCCGCGGTGAAGGAAAACATCGTGAGGAAACATATTTTCGAAATATTAACAAAAAAATATTTCGAAGATATGTGAAGTCCGCCAATCCGCAGTGGGGCCGCGTGGTGGACTATGCCCTGATACCCTCTGTATAGAGGAGGCCTTTGCCCAGCAGTGGGACATGTATAGGCTGTTACTTTACTTTTACTTTACTACTACCGGTTCGGAAAAAAGGCACTGACCTGGAAAAAACCGGCTCAGCGGATACTCAGCGGGACAATTGTTTTTTAACATAGTTTGAATTAAAAAAAATGTTTACAATATATAAAATTCAGCTTGAAACAGCCGAACATTTCATTTCCAGTGTGTTTTCATTTAAGTAATAAAAGATTGGCATATCTTGTGATGGGCAGTAACGGTATTGAATGCTATAACTGAAATTAAATATGTCGGTAAATGTATCAGGGAGGGCTAAAAATATTGTTTTTAAATAAAGGCTGGCAACTCATCAAACCGTCGTGTGTAGAAAAAGCCGTGGACGGATTATCACTTAATATGAGATTTAAAGATGGCGGATCTTGCTACAAATAAAAACTTTATTTAATGTACTGTGAATCGCTTAAGGCGCTTTCGTATCGTCATCAATAACAATAACATTATTAAAAATACTGTCTATTCTAATCTCGCGTTTAAAAGAAGGTATTATCATTTTATTTCTTTTTCGATGAGCTTCGTCCAGTCCAGTTTCAAGAATTTTATGCGTGCTATCTTTTTTTAAATTAACATATCGATACCTTAATTGGCAAACAAGCTAACTCCATATGGGCAAGTTTTACAGGAGACACTTAAAACTGTATAATATTTTTTTTAGACTACTTATGAGGAAATCTAAAATATAGTTGGTAGATATTATCGTAAATTGTCATTTTTGATATTATAAAATCCATTATACATTTTCATTACCATACTACAGCGTTTTTTAGGAGTTATCCGTTTTTTCTTTCGTGCAAAAGTATGTTATCTGGGAGTTAGCTGGTTTTCTTGATAGATTTATTTTAAATAAAAACTTTCTTTTTCTTTTCAAGTGTACAACCAAAGCGTCGTAGCGTTTTAAAAAGTGGTTATTAACAACCAGAAAAGAGTCAGATTTATTGGTATCATCAAATTTAATTTAATTTCTTAATACTGTTGTCATCTTCTTATGAATAGTAATTCTATTGCTAGAATTACTTTATCAACTAAGAAATTGATTAAAATCGTTGCAAACTAATCAGAACTCAGCCTTTGCCTTCATTCCATAGAATGGAACACCCATCTCTAGTTTTCATATCATAAATACACACATTTTGAAGGGTAGTATATAAAAGCGTTAACTTTTTTACATTTTTAAGGGTCTTTCCTATCTCTTTGCCTAATTGTATCTAAAGTTTTTATTAAACTATCAACTTCGTTTATCCCGTCATATTTAAAAATTTATCAATTAATATTTTTCCGTCATCTTCATATGACATTGGATAACAATATTTCTCTTTTACTTACAGTAGTCTAGTTTCATGATTTTTTAGTAGTTTCGGTATCAAAGGAACGGCCTAATCGTTATCCGATTTATCATTACTTGTAGAGAGGTAAGCTGGAATTGTTCTTTATCAAACGGAAATATGTCTTCATTAACAACAATTTCATATGTTTGCGTATACTGCATGACAGACATTTCAAATACAATAAATGTTGTCATCAAATCATCATCATCATCATCATTTCAGCCTGTTTGAGTCTACTGCTAAACACAGGCCTCCCCCATAGACTGCCACGAAGTAAGATCCTAAGCCACCAGCATCCATCAACTTCCCGCACACTTGCACAAATAAATTCGATGAATTAGAAGCTACGCTATCATGCCCAACCAAAGCGTCGTAGGGTTTTGAAAATTGGTTATTAAGAACCAGAAAAGAGTCGGGTTCATTGGTATCATCAAATTTAATTTAAATTTTTAATAAACTTTAAAATGTATAACTTCCAACCGTAGCGTAATAAAGTAAAAAGGAAGCCGACCAACGCAAAGCCAATATTAAATTTTAGAATTGCTCAATTACCTAGTAATGTTTTGTAAGAAATAAAATAAGTATCCATACTGTGTATTAATGTTCAATTGTTTTTCAACACTACCTTTCCTTTTATTGCGTTTATATAATTTTTTTTCCAAATAACGTAGGGCGGTAACCGTACATGACTTGGACGCCATACAAAATAGCCGACTTGGTGGCGTTGGCTGTTAAAATTGTAACGTTCCGTGACATGCGGAGTTGGCTGATTTGCGAATAGCGATTTATAGAAAGAAATAGTGATTATATCGGAGTTATTGTTTTTGCAAATCACGCGAAATTATTATTGCGTTCAAACAAAGCCAAAAAATATTTTTGACCAAAGGTGGAGTTAGCTGGTTTGCCAATTAAGGTATCGATATACTTCTTGCCTTCAATTTATTTAAACATTGTCAAATTCTGTATGGTGAAAGGAAGTACTTATTTAAAAAAATGTAAACAAGCATGTGCGTATTTGTTTCGAAGCTTTATTTTTGTAATCGGGCAACAAATTTTCAAGCCCAATTTTCAAAAGATTGTCAACGCATCTGGAACCCTCGGGTATTGCAGATGTCCATGGGCCCGCCATTCTCTTAACATCAGGTGAACCGTCTGCTGGCAACTTTTCACATTAAAAAAAAATCTTCTTTTCAACACCGTGAGATGAGACCGCACCTAACAAAGACAAGACGGAACTCAAACAACTAGAAAAAACTCATATTTAGGCTACAAGCTGATCACACTTATTCTTCTTAAACAACAAAAATATTCAAACTACGTTCTGCGTGTAAAAAAATTCTGATGGAGTCGCGAGAAGTGTTTGTAATGTACATATACTATCATGTTGATTTGATGATTATTATGAAATTAAACGTCAGCGCCTTGAGAGGTGAAGAAGTCATAATATAACCCGGTTTACAACCTGGTAAATGTTAAGTTTGTATGGCTTTTGCAACATTAAACTTATTTTAATAACATGAAATAATAAATAATATTATGAATCACTGTAAATTGAGATAGTCCCGTCGATAGATCAAGTGAGAAAAGCAAACGAAAGTTACGCCCGCGGGTGAGACACGGAAACGTGAGCTAAAAATTTGTCTCGAGTAACCGGGATGGCCATGAAACATGCACCAACACTGCCAAATTTCACGAATGGTTACGTGAGCAAGTAAGGACGTTTGGTTATCC